TACACTCTCATCTTCTAACTATTTTCACCTCAGGGGAAGATTTAGTATCAGCAGTTAGAACGCCTCCAGAACTCCATATGGTAACACTGTGGAATATTTCTGCATTAAACCAAATTAAAATGAGAGTAATATAGTCATGACGTGTCTTTCTCACATTGTGATAGGTGCAGGTTTACTGATAGACTGGCTTATTATTGGATGCGAGTGACACAATGTCCCACTTGTCACTAATAAAATCACTAATAACATTAATTCAGTTAGTCTAATTCAGTCGTAAGGAATAATACTTAAATCCTATTTAAAATAAGAAAATAGAATTCAAAATAGAAATGTTAAATACTATTAATGAATAATACAGAAATTATACACAAAGAATACAGAAAAAATACTATCACTACTAATAATAACACTAACAACAATAACAACAATAGACTGACTCATCTTATGATGTTGCAACCCAAGGACCTGTGCCATTTTTTTTTTACAAATATACAAAAATATATGGTTCCATGTCAGTCGGGTTCTGACGTCAACCCGACTTTCATTTCCAACCAAAATCCAACGTCTGTCCTACGTCGGATCATGATGAATCATCCACTGACTGACGTTCCTACTTTCTACTTAAGGACTTTGACAGAAATGTAGTGGAGTAAAAAGTACGATATTTGTCTTTCAAATGTAGTGAAGTTAAAGTAAAAAGTTTCCAGAAAAAATAATACTCAAGTAAAGTAAAGATACTCAAAATGTGTACTTAAGAACAGTACTCAAGTAAATGTACTTTGTGTAGAATCAGTTGACTTGTAGTTGCCAAGTTACTTATAGTCAGTAGAATGTCTGTTGGGAACCATCAAAATAATGTGTTAGCAAATATTAAGCAGACAGTCTACTAATACTCTAATGAGAGTTAGTTGACATGTAGTTGCAAAGTTACTTATAGTTAGTAGAATGTCTAAAGTGGACTATCAAAATAAAGTGTTTCATATTATTCATTAAAAATGTAGCAAAATACAGTTTTAAGGCTGTTGAAAAATACATATAGCTGGAAAATGTTCTTAAAGTCTCTGGATGTTGCGGTGCTATCTTGGTTGACACGCCTCTGCAGCATCGCGTGGCGGTCGGGGACGGTACCTTTGGGATGGCAGACCGGGGTGGTGGTCCCTCTTTTTAAGAAGGGGGACCGGAGGGTGTGTTCCAACTACAGGGAGATCACACTTCTCAGCCTCCCCGGGAAAGTCTATGCCAGGGTACTGGAGAGGAGAATACGGCCGATAGTAGAACCTCGAAGAATTCAGGAGGAACAGTGCGGTTTTCGTCCAGGCCGTGGAACACTGGACCAGCTCTATACCCTATCCAGGGTGCTGGAGTGTTCATGGGAGTTTGCCCAACTAATCCACATGTGCTTTGTGGATTTGGAGAAGGCATTCGACTGTGTCCCTCGCGGCGTCCTGTGGAGGGTGCTCCGGGAGTATGGGGTCCGGGGCCCTTTGCTAGGGGCTGTCCGGTCCCTGTACGACCAGAGCAGGAGCTTGGTTCGCATTGCCGGCAGTAAGTCAGACTTCTTACCGGTGCATGTTGGACTCCGGCAGGGCTGCCCTTTGTCGCCGGTTCTATTCATAATATTTATGGACAGAATTTCTAGGCGCAGCCAGGGTCCAGAGGGTGTCAGGTTTGGGGACCACACAATTTCGTCTCTGCTCTTTGCGGATGATGTTGTCGTGCTGGCCCCTTCAGACCAGGACCTTCAGCATGCACTGGGACAGTTTGCAGCCGAGTGTGAAGCGGCTGGGATGAGAATCAGCACCTTCAAATCCGAGGCCATGGTTCTCAGTCAGAAAAGGGTGGCTTGCCCATTTCAGGTTGGTGGAGAGTTCCTGCCTCAAGTGGAGGAGTTCAAGTATCTTGGGGTCTTGTTCACGAGTGAGGGAAGGATGGAACGGGATATTGACAGACGGATCGGTGCAGCTTCTGCAGTAATGCGGTCATCTGTCGTAGTGAAGAAAGACCCTGAGCCGCAAGCTCTCGATTTACCGGTCAATCTACGTTCCTATTCTCACCTATGGTCATGAGCTTTGGTCATGACCGAAAGGACAAGATCCCGGATACAGGCGGCTGAAATGTGCTTTCTCCGCAGGGTGGCTGGGCGATCCCTTGGAGATAGGGTGAGAAGCCTGGTCACTCGGGAGGAGCTCAGAGTTGAGCCGCTGCTCCTCCATCTTTTCCGGATGCCTCCTGGACGTCCCACCGGGAGGAGACCCCGGGGAAGAACTAGGACACGCTGGAGGGACTATGTATCCCGGCTGGTCTGGGAACGCCTCGGTGTCCCCCCGGAAGAGCTGGAGGAAGTGTCTAGGGAGAGGGAAGTCTGCGCATCTCTGCTTAGACCGCTGCCCCCGCGACCCGGCCCCGGATAAGCATAAGAAGATGGATGGATGGATGGATGGATGGATGGATGGATGGATGGATGGATGGATGGATGGATGGATGGATGGATGTTCTGAATTCACTCATCTTTGGCAGGTTTGGAGAAAAATAATTCTGGAACATGTTTGGACAGACAAATAGTACCTTTAGGGGTACATGGCTTATGACTAGTACCCTCAAAACATATATGTACAAATATGTACATTAGTTAAGGTACAAATATACAAGCTGCAGGTAGATAAGGTTTACTGTTGATGGTACAGCCCCAGTTACATGCTAATGGTACACTTTTTGCACATTATTCTGGCAGTGTTGGGCAAATGAAATGGCTTTGTTTCAGTCACTGAAAGCCTGAAGTGTTTGATTCAATCTGTTTATATAGGTGGTTGGAATGCACAAATTAATATTAAAGAAAATATTAAAAAAAAAATAACCGCTTTGTTTTTAGTTTTTGTTTGTTTCAAAGGAGATTAAATTAAAAAAAAGAAAAACAAAGAGGGAGCGAGGGGAAAATAGACTTGTAGAAAGACAGCAGCTGTCTGAAAGTGGACAGTATGTCAGCCACCTTTGAGAGTCATTAGCGTTGTTCATTTGAGAGGCATGACTAACTAATGAGCCGGCATTTCCATTCACGTTGACTTCCAATAGAGTCACTATTTGTGTTTTTCAAGCCATCATTAAGCTCACAGCGTTATTAGATAAATATTAACCATGCCGCTCATTAGAGACTGTTAGACTGCATGGTCCACTCTCGCTAAGTCTGTTCGAATTGTAGCCAGGAAGTAAAGAAAAGCTGCAAATGTTGATAAGGTCACTGGATCTGTTTAATCCTGGACTCTTGGCAGGGATCACAGTACAACATGCCAGCAGAGAAAGAAAGAGAGGGATGGTTGCTCTCGCCCCCTGCCCCCTACGGGCGGATCAGTGGAGCGGGTCGTCGCTTTTGCCCACAGATGGGCAGGATGCCACAGCACAGTCACCCCACACACATTTGTCCCCAGTTTGCCTTTGCGCAGCTGAGGCCATTTCTGAGAGCACTTCTCCCTAATGCACTTTAATTGAATTTCCTTCTGTCTACTCTAATCACCGCCTTATTACACAGATCCAGTCACAGCACTGCTCTTGTAGAAAGTTCTGAAGCCCTTCCGTTGTCTTTCCAGGAGCACAAAATTACCTTTTATTATTAACACAAAGGTGAATGATTGGTTTAATAATGTATAGCAGTTATATTGAATAAGGTTTCATAAACAGTGGCTGAGAGTTTGTGTGGGAGAAATCTAGACAAATTTTGCATTGCATTAGAAAACTCATTGAGTGGGCCGTAATTGTATTAACTGCGACATGATGCAGTGTGCTTGATGACACGGTGTTGTTTTAACCTAGCTTCCAAATGGATGTCTCGCTGTCCGTGTTGTTGTTCCAGCAAGCCTGAAAAACACAAGCGATCCAAAGCTTTAACTTTAAACATGCATTTATTTCATCCTGTACTTTATAAGCCATTTTCTATCATTTCCAAGAGTGCAGATTCTGCAGATTAAAGGTGTAGTTACGACAGTCATTTATCACGTTTTATTTCAGGCTGTTTCCATATTTTCAAAGAGTAGCATTGGATGGATATCAAAGTGGCAGTAAAAGTATTAGACAAATAAGTCTCAGAGTGCCCCTGTAATGGTCAGAATAACAGTACACAGTCAAAGAAACCATGCAAAAGTCTGACTGTTTTATTTTTTCCCTCAAAAACGAGCCCTTGACTTTTTGTCCACCACACATGAAACACAAACCTTTTTTTAATTATCTCTGCAAGCAATCCACTGACAAATTGAGACATTCTTGCCTGTGATGACATACCGACTCCTGGCCTTTCATCATTGCTTTATTTCCCAAAGCAGTTAAGGTGACATCCTCCACAGACAACAGGTCTAAGGTCTGCTTCACTTAATTCTGTTAAAGTAACATTTCTTCCTGTTATCTCAAAGGGCCGTGGCAAACGATCTTGGATGGCGCTTTCAAGAGTTGTTGCTTTCATTAAATCGCCATTTTCTCTTTCATGTCTTAGAATGAGACCCTGGGCAAGAGATTCATCAGAAAAGTTCTTCATTTTAAATTTTCATAGTACAAGTCTCATATTTTTACAGTTATTGGAAGCTGATTATGATTATGAATGAAGGTGAGCTTGCTGGGTGGCACAGTTTTTTATTTTGTATATGTATAAATGTCATGGAGGCAAGCTAGTAAGAGCTGTGCGTGTAATCCTCACTCCCCTGGCCTCAAGATGCACGCTAGCGTTGTCATTCCTGCCAAAGAAAGGTCAACTAGTCATTGAAGACAAGGGTTCACATACTTTTACCATTGTGCACTATAAATCTTTACACAGTGTGTTCAGTAAAAACCTGAACACACCAGTTATGTATAGTAAAAGTATATACAATAAATGATCAGATCATATTTTATGACTAATTTGTACGGAAATTCAATTAGCTACTTCTAAGGGTTTTCTAATTGCCAATAGGCTTATTGGTAACACTTTACCAAGTATACAGTAATAAAGTACTTGTAAATCATTAACAAACTATACACAAGTTTTTGAGCCGTTTCCGCTCTACATCCTAAACTCCTCCCGTTTATGCAATCCACTTCCGTTCTGGCGGGCTGGTAATGCTACCTAGCTCCGTTGTGCCGACAAAGCACTGATATCGCAGTGACAAAGAGGATAACAATTAACTTACAACATGAATAAAAGTGGTTCGGGAACGACGTGTGCGGTAGTTGGGTGCAAAAACTCGCGAAAGCACCTGAACGAGTGGTTAGATAGAGAGTGTTACGACCACAAACCAGCTACGAAGAGGCAATGTCCATGCGCTCCATTGTTTACATTTTTTCGCAAGCCTGATACCGACTCGGAATCAAGGACCTGGCTGAAGGCATTGAATCTAAAGAAACCACCCCGCATCGTTTTTGTTTGTTCCTATCACTTTGTTGACCAAAAACCAACCAAGGATAATCCTTTCCCAGAGTTGTGGTTGGGATACAATCGCCCTCCCCAGCCAAAGAGGCGTCAACTCACCCAGCGGACCACTGTCTCCACCCAGAGAAAGAAACGCAGACTTGCATCTGAGGGTAAGTAAAGCAAATTTAGCTATGAATTTGACAATACTGTTAATTATGAACAAGTTGTCATACACTAACATTGCTACCGGTATTTTGCTGAGGCAGTTGATTGTTTTGGATATGGGACAAACAATGCCCACGATAGCTACATCATTAATTTTGTGTGTGTGTGTGTGTGTGCATGCCTGCGTGTGCCTTATGCTGCGTTCATGTGCGATGGTAATTATGGTAAATACCAAAAGCCGACGTGGAAAATGCACATGAACACCCCTCATGTGGTATTTTCCACTGGGCAACTCATAGAATATTTTGATGGACGAGTTGCCGAGATGAAATAACCTTTGAACTTTTCAAAAAGGCTGAGAGCACCCCAAGAGTCGTGAATGGTAAAAATATATACTATTCATGATCTAAAAAATATATAGCATATTATTTTATTATTATTACCTTTTGAGTTTTGATGCATCATTTTCTTGCTGTTGCAGATGACTTAAGCAATCTAAAATAGTTTTAGCTAAATAACAGGTCTGGATCGCCATCTTTTTACCACATTACAACAACAAAAGCACTTGAACGCAACACACTGGTAAATACCAGTTCACAAGTGGGAAATATCATATTTCCCATAGCATGTGAACGCAGTCTACATCATAAATGCAATGCAAGGTGGCAGGCTGTTGTGATGGTGTGTTTGTGTGTGTGTGTGTGTGAGTGTGAGTGCAATGTTGTAATACAAATTTTGCCATTGTGATGTTTGTAGTGTTGTGGAAAAATTTATATTTTACTTTTCTTATTATTTACTTTCTTAGACATTGTGCTTTTTCTTTCAATTCAATCATGTGTTTCTCTCCTGGAATGTATTTTTTACCTGGCAGGAACAAAGACGCACAGTAAAAGAAATGGTCTATGCCTTAATTAATTTTGCTCCATCCATGTTTTCTCTTCCCCTTTTTAGATGCTCCTGAAACCTGTCAGCCTGCCTGTGAGGCCGAGCCTGCTACACCAAAATTTCGAGATGCCCAGACCCAATGGGAGGATCCGTCACATATTGACCACATGTACTGTTCAACAACACAGTCTGTTAAAGTAGACAAGGCCACACAGTGCGAGGCAGAAATGGGTCCTACTGTGACTAGCACCACGGTCATTGATGATGCTAGTTCCCGGCTGTATACAGGAGTGCGTATGGTTCAATTTTTCACCCTGGTGACAGTGTTGTTGCCTTTCAGTAAGCTATCAATTACCCTTCCTGTTGTTGACCAAATCCTGATGACCTTGATGAAGCTAAAACTAAACCTAATATTAGGAGATATTGCTCATCGCTCATCGCTTCAATGTGTCTACATCCATGGCAAGCATTGTGATTAGTCACTGGATTGACGTGATGGGTGAACAGTTCAAAGTCCTGATCCCCTGGCTTCCAAGAGAGACCATTCGTGCCACCATGCCCTTGTCGTTTCAGAGGAACTACCCTCGAACCACCTGCATCATTGACTGTGCCGAAAGTGCCATGCAGAGAGCCACAAACTACGACTGGGTTCCTAGACTATCTGAGGGCTGGTGATGAGGTCATGGCGGACCGTGGGTTCACCATTCGAGACTTGCTTGATGAGAGAAAGGTCCGTTTGAACATCCCTGCATTCACCTACAGACGCAATCAGTTGACCAATGAGGAGACCACACGCACCAGGCGAGTAGCCAATGTCCGCATACACGTGGAAAGAGCAATACAGAGACTGAAGGTCTTTAAGATTTTATCCCAGACCGTCCCCATCAGCATGGCACCGAAACTGGACAACATCTTAACCATCTGTGCTGGCCTAGTTAACCTGAAGAGTCCACTGATCAGAGTGCCTTGGTGATGGTGATGATCACGACATGGTGATGGCTCGATGATGGAGGAGGTATTTGCATTAAAGCAGAGCTGCAGAAGGCTATTCCCAGGGCATTTGAAAAGTTCTGCCATTGGTGATGCAAGTGCGTTCCTCCTCCACTCTTCATGAGTCCTAAAGCGTGTCACCTCCTGTGCCGGTTCTGGAGTGGTAGAGGATGGCTGTGAAGTTGGCGGCGGTTGATAGAGATCCTTCCTGTTGTGCCGTTTGAAGTGCACATACTTCATCTTCCTCTGACCAGCATTCCTTTTAGACCCAGCATTCCACTGGTTCTGTCCGTCTGTACAGGCACTCCCGGTTTTCCCCTGTCTCACAGCATTTTCCACCTAGAGAGATATAGTCAGGGACGGATTTTGACTTGCAAGGCCCCGGGGCCAATTATCTCAAAGGAACCTCTATCACAATTTTTTTCCTGTTATTTTAGCTGCGCATTCACAGTAGCTAATCCCCTGCGCTAAAAAGACAGGCCTATATTGTAGGGTTTACAGAATCGGGGCATAGGATAATAATCATAATAATCAACAATGGACTACATTGAGGTGTATGAAACACGTATTTATTGAATTAACTTCAGATATACACTAAACACTATACACAATTAATTAAAATACATTTACAATGAAAATACATACAATTAAAATCAATTAAAAACACATTTATTGCATCACATGAATAAAAATGTATTCACATTAATAAAAAGTATTTGTTACAATAAAAAATAACATGCCTGTAAAGTTTTCTCTCTCTCTCTTTCTCTCTCTCTCTCTCTTTTTCTCTCTCTCTTTTTTTCTCTCTTTCTCTCTCTCTCTCTCTCTCTCTCACACACACACACACACACACACACACAGTTACGTTCGCGCCCGCACATCTCACGCGCCTAATTATTATCATCATGGCACACACACTTTGCACTCTAGCCAAGTCGCCTATGATGTAGTTCGGATACCAACAATAAAAAAGGCCTAGGCTACAATGGTCAAATAATCTAGTTACCTTCCACAGAATCGCAGCTGAGTGGGAACAAGATCTACCTGGTCCAGCAACACACGTACATCCCGTAGTTTTAACTTCTCCAGCTTCAGTTACCAGCACCCAAGCATTATGCCACGCATTGTTCAAACACTGGCTAGGCTCTACATTTGCTTTAAGATAAATAAAGTGATCATGTTTGTATGACATAACACAACCGACTTTGTTGCTGTGCAGATATTGGTACGCCTCGGAGGCTTTCAGATTGTCCATGGCTTTTCCGTCTATTGCCATGGATTGTGCAAAGTAGGAGCAAATATTACTGTACGTTATCCTGGGCCACGTCATCATGTTATCCTCCCAGTTCTGTACTGAATTCGGGTGGGGGATAGTAACGCCATCTCCAGTTAAAGTAGTGGAACCGTGTTCCCAAGCTAGCATCTTAATAGCTGTGTTTACACCGGCAGACGCTGTGCAAACCACTTCCGGCGGAAATTAAGTGCATATGTGTAGAGTTATGGCGCCGCCCACGATTTGCCGCGTAAACTTGTGTATAGATGTTATTCGATCTGCGTCATCAATGTTTGCGGCGGCCATATTGTTGACATAGAAACCACGGCAACTGTCAGTCTGTCAATTGACAAGCGAGGCAGCGTCGGTATTATCCATGGTATTATCACTGTATTTTTTTTTTTTAAAACAGCGTGATGGTGTGTTGTGTAATACACGGCTGTTCTAACAACAGCGAGAACCCCGGAGTTAGTTTTTATGCGATAAGTTACCGACTGTCAGAAAACGTGAAGGGAAGGAGACAGAGTTGAGCCAGCGCAAGAGAGGCTAGCTAGGATAAATAGGCTAAACTTTCAGCCAACTCCCCATAGAAAAGTCTGTTCCCATCATTTTACCACAGGTTTCACACATAATCCGTGTGCAATGCATGTGCGGTACAGAAGCAGGACGCGCTATAGTGCTTTATATGCTGCGTGATCCGCGGCTGTACCACAAACACCCTGGCACTCACTATTTTTATTTTAAAACATACTCACTATTTCAACAACGTAAGCCAATTATTCCATGCATTACTTCTATATATTAAGTTGCTCAAGCAAGTGGTCAAATATGTAACCATGTAACTTACTTATATTAAAATCGCAAACATTTTAAATGAAAACTTAAAATTGACAAAAACAACCGACTCTCATGCCTTTTCTTTTGCATTTACATTTTAATACAACAAATCTAGCATGTCACAAAGAACTTGTTTTTCCACCTCCACGAATGAGACGAGTGTCGTTCATTATGTTGCCTTGTTGAGGTGCATTGTAGTTTGTATACGGATACTGTATGAACGAGATCGTTATAAATATCCGGATAAGTTACGGCTGGCAAAGTGGCAATAAGGACGGATCTTTACTTAAGCTTGATTGGTGTGGACCCACATCAAATAATAGCATTATCTTCTCTTGATACCGACGAGATGAAGCCAGGCTACTGCTCCCCTCAACTCAAATCTGCGCGCGGTTAGGGGCAGCAGGACAGATGTCATGTCAACAATATGGCCGCGGTTAGCTACTTCCGGTGTTTGCGAATAAGGTCTATTATAGTTCATAGTTAATTCACAGGTAATTGTAGCCTCTACATTGTTAACATATTAATAGGCTATATACAAATAGTGAGTTCTTTATTCATTGTCACTGTAACTTACACAATAATTATTGTTTAATTAGCTTATTGTTAATTGGTTATAAGGAGTAAATAGTTTAGATGACTTTAGATTAACCCATAAGAACCCGGACCAATTTCCCCTTATAGGAAAATTATGGGGCATATAAAACAGACTAAATGAACCACTTAAAACATGTTTCTGCTGTTGTTTTTTTTAAATACAACCACTCCTTGTCAAAGATCTGTAATGTTACATATATGTCACATTGGGCGTTTATGATAAAAAAAATTTATGTTACATATATGTCACATTGGGCTTTTATTTCTCATTTGGAAAAATATTTTTTTGTCAGTTTTCTTGCTAAATAAAAATGTTTTCTGTTTATTTTCTTTTCTACAACACTTTCAAAATTATAACTTTTCTGTGAAGATAAATAAAATAAAATAAACTTTTTCAGAAGTAATAGTTTTTGCATTGCCACATATTTCAAAACCACATAACTGTGACCATAACGGTGACCTTTTCAGGTATACCGTTTAATCTAAAGATTAATAAAGATTAAAATAATAAAGATAAAAAATAAAGATAATTTTTTCACAACTCGAAAATGTGCAAACTGAATAAAAATAAATAACTACCTCACACTGGAGGTCAACATGTTGAACATGCATGTAGTGCAATAACATTGCAAAATTCTACCTTTTCAGGTATACGGTTTAACCAGAAATACATTTTTTGATTATTTTTTCACAACTCGAAAATGTGCAAACTGAATAAAAATAAATATGGTGTTTTATACACGTTTAGTCATGTGACGCATATTGAACCCATAGATATGCCTGTGTATACCCATATTGTGTCTGTTATGTGCTATTCACTTTCACACAGTTGCTAAAATATGTTACTTTGTACACTCTTCATTTCACAGTTCGGCAAAGATGACAGAAAATTCACTCACATTTCCTGTCCTGCGGCAAAACATGAGAGCAGTTGCGTTTTAGACCAAACATATCATGGTGACTGAGTGGGACCTGGACGCATCAGTGAATGGTGAGATATTTTGCTTAACAAAATTATCCTGCCAGAAGAATTGCGTGACAACTTGATAATGTCTTGTTCTGTCTGTATCATCTCAGTGAAGTTCAAAAGTTTCTCATCCACACCTGAAACATTGGAAAACGCTAAATTCACAGCATTACAGTGCATGCGTAAAACCTCATAAAAGCTTTCGTTTTGAAACAAAAACTCCGGATTAATGTGGACTTAGCCTAAGTCAAGCCAAGCTACTTAATTCCTTAAATTCGCGTTTATTTGAATAAAGCTGCACATGGGTTCTCACTCAGTGGACTTTGAAACAATTATCTATAGAAAAGTGATTAAATAGGTCCTATTTTCAAATTGAAAATTTCACCAAATGTTTGTGATGCTAGCGTGTTTCAAACTTCAAAAGTGGTTAAAACCAAACTTTTAGCCATACATAGTGTCTTCAAACCAGTAGTCTAGTACATGGTATATTTTCACTATTCTTCACCACAGTTGAGCATTCAAATCCCTGTGTATTAGGCTTCAAGCAGAAGTACTACCATAGACAGCCTGTCAGCAGCAGGACACATAGCATTCTGCTAAGGTTAGAGGGCCGCGAGCTGATCTGCAAGTGAGGTGGCAGTGTGTTTCAAATATAAACTAACGAAAACTGTCACTACAGAGGACAATGACACCATATAACCCCTCTAAACGTTCATGAACCCCTCAAGCATATGATTTTACAATAATTTCCTCATAGAGATGTGTAGTCCAAATATAGATGCATTTATGAGACTGCTAAGAGATGCTCGTTTGTT